TAGTCCAGTTTTTAGTCTGGTTTTAGTCCTGGTTTAGTCCTGTCCAGTTGTCCTGGTTTAGTCTGGTTTAGTCCAGTTGTAGTCCTGGTTTAGTCCAGTTGTAGTCCTGGTTTAGTCCTGGTTTAGTCCAGTTGTAGTCCTGGTTTAGTCCTGGTTAGTTTTTAGTCTGGTTTAGTCCAGTTCCTGTTTAGTCCCGGTTTAGTCCAGTTGTAGTCCTGGTTTAGTCCTGGTTTAGTCCTGGTTTAGTCCAGTTGTAGTCCTGGTTTAGTCCAGTTGTAGTCCTGGTTTAGTCCGTGGTTTAGTCCAGTTGTAGTCCTGGTTTAGTCCTGGTTTAGTCCAGTTGTAGTCCTGGTTTAGTCCTGGGTTAGTCCTTGGTTTAGTCCAGTTGTAGTCCTGTTTAGTCCTGGTTTAGTCCTGGTTTAGTCCAGTTGTAGTAGTCCTGGTTTGTCCTGGTTTAGAGTCCTGGTTTAGTCCTGGTTTAGTCCAGTTGTAGTCCTGGTTTAGTCCTGGTTTAGTCCAGGTTTAGTCCTGGTTTAGTCCTGGTTTGTGGTGTGAGTCCTGTTTAGTCCTGTTTAGTCCTGTTTAGTCCTGGTTGTAGTCCTGGTTTAGTCCTGGTTAGTCCTTTAGTCGTTGTTTAGTCCAGTTTGTCCAGTTGTAGTCCTGGGTAGTCCTGGTTTAGTCCAGTTGTGTTTAGTCCTGGTTGTCCTGTTTAGTTGTAGTTGGTTTGTGGTTTAGTCCTGGTTTAGTCCAGTTGTAGTCCTGGTTTAGTCCAGTTGTGTCCTGGTTTAGTCCTGGCTCAGATTTGTTTGTATTTAATCTAAACTAATGACAGTTTTTGCCTCTTTTTACTTTCGTTTGGCCAAAAATCTGGACATTTTTTGTATAAAATTGGGACAAATCAGTGTTTTAAATCTAAATCTGCAGAGACACAAAACAGATTCTGTCCCGGGGAAAAGGTTCGTCTGGTTTATTAAAACACATGACGCTGTTTTGTGTTTTTTTATCTGTTCTAACGTCGTTTCCTCGACCAGACCTGCAGTTGTGTTTAGTTTCATTCACATGTTTAATTAAAACACAAACACGTCACATTTACACTGAAAACTCACCCTTTTCACACAAACTAAAACATTTATAATCAAATTTATTTATAAACAATATTAAACACTTGTTAATTAATACAAAAGGACACTTCATAATTTATACTTTTTTTTTTTTTTAGCACATTTGTTTTTAGATTTTGAAGTTTAGATTTTGTCCTTTAGATTCTCACACCTTTGACTGAAACACATTTTTTAAATAATTCATGCGTCACGACCCTCGGGCGTCCGGTCCTCGTGCAGCTCAAACTGGGAAGGATTTTCTGAAAAAGTGAGCATCAAAAATTCGTGTGTCGTTCGTTCATTTGTTTTTCAATATAAAACCAAAAATAAGAAAACGAAAAAACAACAGTTTTCTTCATTATTTGTCTCCAAAACCAAAATGAAAAAAACAGATAATGATTCGATTTTTCAGTTTTTCATTTTGTGTTTAAAATGAAAAAATGGAAAAAAAAACGGATAACGGGCTTTTTTACGTGACTTCAGTGATGTGAGACTGATCCAGGACTGATCCAGGACTGATCCAGGACTGATCCAGGACTGATCCAGGACTGATCCAGGTCCAGGACCAGACCAAGACTGAGACAAAGACAAGACCGGGACCAGACCGGGACTGAGACCGGGACCAGACCGGGACCAGACCTGGCGACCAAGGGACCAGACCAGGACCAGACTGGGACCAGACCGGACTCCAAGCTTTGACAACCTCCGTGGGGATCGAGCCTCAGCTTCGCGCTCTGGCCCTGCCATGGGCTCTGAGCCTCCGGTCTGGTCCCGGTCTGGTCCCGGTCTGGTCCCGGTCTGGTCCCGGACCTGGATCAGTCCTGGTTCAGTCCGACATCACAGTCACTGAAGTCACGTAAACGGGAAACGACCGTTATCTGTTTTTTCCATTTTTCATTTAAACACAAAATCGAAAAGTGAAAAAACAAATCATTATCTGTTTTTTTTTCATTTTGGTTTTGGAGACAAATAATGAAGAAAACTGTTGTTTTTTCGTTTTCTTATTTTTGGTTTTATATTGAAAAACAAATGAACGAACGACACAGATTCTCCCTTCACCTCTGGTCATGACTGAAAGGACCAGTTCACTGATACAAGCGACACAGATGAGTTTCCTCCGCAGGGCGTCTGGGTTTTCCCTTAGATAAAGAGGGAGGAGCTCGGAGTGGAGCCGCTGCTCCTCTCCACGTGGCTGCACATCTGTTCTGGGCGGGAGGAGGCGACCCAGGACACACTGGAGGGACTCTGTCTCTGGTCTGGTCTGGAAACACCTCGAGGTCCCCCTGGAGGAGCTGGAGGAAGTGTCTGGGGTGAAGGAAGTCTGGGAGTCCCTGCTTAGACTGATCTACTTTTACTTAAGCGTTTTTCCTCGAGTGATCAACTTTTACGAAACAAAAATGCCAGAGAGCAGTCGCAAAGAAAGAATGAGAAAATATAAAAGCCACGGTTCAGTTTCCAGTTTTATTTATGTTAATTTATTTTGTTGTTTTGAGTTGTTAAAGAGATTTAATGGTTAAGTACAATTTATTATTATTATTTTATTATTATTTATTTTGTGTTCTGTTCTTGTGAGACGTGGCTGTGAGTTCAGGTTTATTTTTAGATCAGAGTCACGCGTCGTCGTGACGTTGATGTTTTGATGGAACCAGACTGAGACAAAAAGTCAGAACTAAACCAGGACTAAACCAGGACTGAACCAGGACTAAACCAGGACTGAACCAGGACTGAACCAGGACTGAACCAGGACTGAAACCAGGACTGAAAACCAGGACTGAACCACCAGGACTGAAACTAAACACGAGGACTGGAACCAGGACTAAACCAGGACTAAACCCAGGACTAAACCAGGACTAAACCAGGACTAAACGGAGGACTGAACAGGACTGAACCAGGACTAAACCAGGACTGAAACTAGGACTGAACCAGGACTAAATCAGGACTGAACCAGGACTAAACCAGGACTAAACTAGGACTGAACTGAACCAGGACTAAACCAGGACTGAACCAGACTACCAGGACTGAAACCAGGACTGAAACCAGGACTAAACCATAGGACTAAAAGGACTAGAACTAAACTAGGACTAAACCAGGACTAAACCAGGACTAAACCAGGACTGAACCAGGACTAAACGAGGGCTGGATCAGGACTAAACCAGGACTAAACCAGGACTAAACCAGGACTAAACCAGGATTAAACCAGGACTAAACCAGGACTAAACGAGGGCTGGATCAGGACTAAACCAGGACTGAACCAAGACCAAAACAGGACTGCTAATTTTAATTTAACCACTCTTATCCTGTCCTGGTTTAGTCCTGGTTTAGTCCTGGTTCAGTTCTTCTTATTTCCTCCCAGTTTTGTCCTGTCTTGGTTCTTAAATCCTGTCTTAGTTCTGATTAAGTCCCCCAATTTCAGTCTTGGCTCGGTCCTGCCATAGTCCTCGTTCAGTCCGGATTTTGTTTAGTCCTGGTTTAGTCCTGGTTTAGTCCTGGTTTAGTCCTGGTTTAATCTTCTTTAAACATTTGTGACGTGAGTTTTGTTGATTTTTCCAGAATAATCGATGTAAAAATCAATGTCAGATCCGGTCGGACAAAACTTTGGGGCAGATTTGTTTGGACGATTCTAAAGATTATTGACGTTTTATCGACGTAAAAAAAAAAAGTAAATGTTTTTCTGTCTTTAAAGCTCCTGTATTACAAAAAACGTGACTCTTGTGAAGCTTTAAGTCTCGTTCTAATGTCGTTCCCTCGTCAAAAACAGACCTGGACTTGAATTTTGTGTTTGTAATTTTTAGTTTTGGACAAAATCTGAAACGTATCGACTTAAAATAACGAACGAAACTTGAACACGACGTTTTTGAGTCAATCTGAGCCAAAGAAAAACTGCCACATTTACAACAACGAGGTTTATTACGAAAAAGGTCAAGATAAAAATAAACCGACAGGAGCAGACAGGAGCAGACAGGAGCAGACAGGAGCAGACAGGAGCAGACAGGAGCAGACAGGAGCTGACAGGAGCTGACAG